AACGCCTTATACAGGCTTACATGGAGGAGAGTTGCATGGTATCATTTCCTATGTAAAAAGAAATAATAATCAACTGTAAATACTCTTCCAAGAATAGTATATAGAACCTTTCAAGCTGTAACCATTATCTTTTACCTCTAGTGTATTCTAATTCTACAGGAATGGTCATTCATTAACTCTGAAATAAGACTTCATATTGTAATAAACAGACAAAAGACATCCAAGTCAATTTTTTAATAAAGATATTACAAAAAGATGAAACTCAGCTCAGAAAGCCAATTACTTCTTTTAATAGATCAAGTTTTTAGACATAATAACTCCATCAATTTTAAATACTATGCATCATATAATATGCCTACTTCGGTGTGCTGCACAAAAGAAATTTTTGCTTCATAATAATGAAATACGTGCACAATGCAGAAAGAAGTGCGCACAGTTCACTTCAAAAACTAAGAGACGAAGAGCCGGAGTATAGAAACGCTCACACCATACAAGTGCCTGCCAACACAAAGAAGTCACACATACCAATGATGATAGTCCGGAGCTAATGCCTCTATTGTCTCAACACCCAGTATGTGTTCAAAAATATGTTATCATCTTATTATACTTATCTACGATTCTGTTTCTTGAAACGTATTGAGGACCCTATCGCCCATCCGAGTTTTGCTTATGGACTGTTCTGATTTGGACTTCTTATTAATTGAGAGAATGTGATAGGCATCAAAATAGTTTTAAAAATGGCACAGATAATCTAGTTTTTATGATATGTTATGCGCCTAAATATTCCATTTGTACTATTATGATCAGCACTCGTTCTAAACAAGAGATCTCCAACGCACAAAATATAACATGTAGATAAGTCTTTCCAATGGCCGAATGCTTAATTGGCTTCTTTTCGGAGAGTTAGAAATGTAACATTGCCTTTTTATCTTCCCATGAGTGGTTTCTATCATCCTAATTGATCCAATGAATATGTAAACTATATTATTTTTTTCATTACTCATATGCGAGCAAAGCTAGCAGAAAATTATGTGACCAAACGATTCTTTACCTCCTATACAGAGAACGAGTATAACTTGGCTCGTTTATATGCGAGATGTTTCTCATCTGGTATAAATAATTAGGTTGGCAACAATGGTCTCTTAAGATTTATTACTAAAATATTCTCGCACAAGACACCTAAAACCCACAAAACATATTTGTACATGTTAACAGTAGAAAGAAATCCTCACCCATAGTAGTCGTATGAATCGTCCTAGCGAAGATTTTTGGGTTATGTATATGTTTATTGGTGTTTAAATATAATATCTAAAAATAAAATTAAAAAATCTACATTATTTAGACTACAGTCTTAATAAACTTATTACCTGATGAATCCAATTGTAATATGGATTGATATAATATTATGTTATTTCAACATAAATAATATATTCGAAAATACACTCATGTTTCAGGATTAACACTAGTTCATAGTCTGGAATTATTATTAAAAACAAGTACTACTTAAATACAAGGCATAAACGATGACACATACATACCGTATTACAGTTTGAGGAGTAATGCTTAGTGTTATGTGTTAGGTGATATAAATACAGAACCTTATAAATTCCGAGGCATATCACCTACCAACATAGTATCTTGTAAGATGCATACAATGTACCTGTTAGGTCTCCATGCCAGAATTTACTTAATACGTATTGTAAACATTGCTACATATACCATTTAACATCCCACAAAAGATACTTCTCAGACTATTATATCTTTTATAGCATATACAGAATTTTTAGACGTAGATTTCATTTCCAACTAAATAGTGAAGCTTCATTTATTACCTTTGGTACTGTTTTTTCACCACTATTGTCCCTTATGAGACAAATTCCTTTTCTTTATTCCATTAACATCTAAACAAGGGATTAGCGGACCATAAAACCTCTCCAAACCTAACCACATTGAAATGTAATTGCTAACATTTATATTTCATATACAATCCCTAAAATTAACTTTATTAAAAAACCTAAAAAGTGTGTCATTATGCGAGAGAAATACTGTCTACTGATGGTGTATTGATTTCCAGTATATACTAAATGACAGTTTTGTGCCTAGAGCTATTATGCACTTTCAAAAATGATCTAGTGTATTATAATCGAACACATGGCCATTGTGCCGTCCCATCACGCTCCATATACTGTTATAATACTTTTAGTTCGCATGACATTAGTTAGGTTGCATGCACAACATGTTATTTGAAAAATGACTAGTGAGCAAGAAGTTTCCGAGAAATGGCGAGAGCACACATGCGCTACAAGCGCCACTGTGATTAGGAGATACAGAGACAAGTGCTTAACCTGAAAATACACCAGAAGCTAGGACACATTCCAAAAGTAGATCCTCCAAGAATGATATCATTTGGTTGAGTGAGAGTGGAATACCCAAAAGGAAAGTTACCTTTACCATTAGACAGCAAAACTTACAAATATAGATAAGCAGAAGGCATTGGCAGGATGCAAGGCAGAACTAAGTCATTATGTTGAGCCAGATATACTCAAGAAAAAGAAGTGGTACTGCTTCGAGTTTTATGATAGCTGCTACTGACTATCGAGACACAATTTAGCAAACGCATTATGCGTAACTGCATTTTTACCTTATGAGTTTCCTTTGTCCTAATCCTCAGCTAAAAAATAATAGTACATGAAAGTCACACATAAAAATGTATAATGAAATAAATAAAGCCAGTAAGCACTTTAGCACTCGAGATCGAACAGATAGGGAACATAAGAGAGAGTTATAACCACTAACTTATGTGCTCTGTATATGATTTTTTTCATCTTGTAAATATGAACATAAAGTTATTATGTACTGTGTGTTATATTTCGTTTCTTTAGACAATCGTAATGACACTACCTGTTAGCCACAACTAGATGAAATTAGTCAGGTATATGCCATGGGTGTATCTGAGCCTTAGCTCACATCAATTCAAATCCTGGTGCTCAAGTGAATCTGCTTTCTATCAACAGACATTCTCAGCCGGAACTGGTCTGCTCCATAAGAAATCCCACAAGCTACACCTTATTGACTGGGCACTTATGATCAGGCATGCTCTCGTGGCACTCTTGTTTCACTTTTGGCTTAATTTAGCATGTGTAAGGCACTTACACAAGTGCCAAAAAAACAGATGGGAGCGATGAGTTTGAGGAATACTGTATAAAAGGGAAATTGCAACGACTCTTAAGGTCTCTTACCTACAGATTTATGTTTGGTTAAAAGGCTGTCTTAAATAGTTTAAATTTGTTTCTTGTTTATAGCAGAGTTGACGAGGTCTCGTCTTTGCCTCAGCTTGCGTTTTTCTGATAGGGATCCTGACTTCGTGAGGGATTTTAAGCCAAAGTTGCCACAGCGCTCTATCACACGCCATCCAGAGGCCCCTACAAACCATAGAAAGCATATTGTTCTTTAAAAGAAAACAACAAAAAATTAAAGATTTATAAAATGGACAGAAGTAATGACAAGAAACGTACACACAGCAGTGAAAATATAAAGAAAAATAGAACTCAATCCTACAGCTTAATGTTAAGCTGATCCTTCTACATTGAGTCATGGCCCTAATTTAATCTGTGATGATCATATCAGTCTTTACAGATCGTATGGAGCCATCACTGGAGGTCAATGTAATTAGGTATTAAAAATGAAATGCTTAAGAAGCTAAGTTCGAAAGAAATGTGCCTAATTGATTAGAAAAGAAAAGTCCAGCATTAAAGCAACAAACATAGATGTGTCAGACACTGCAAATAACGGGAGATAAACAGAGTGATTACATAAAAAATGCCCAACCTACTAGCAAATGTTAATATCCAATATTGGTAGAATTACTATGACGTAAAACCAGAATGTTGGAAACCAGTATTTTATTCAAATACATAGACAAATCAGTTATTTTTCCACTAATGTCTCACAACTGTCAAATTAAACAGGGCAATAAATTGTGCTATCCAAGCAATGAATCATCCCTAAATATTACTTGAAGTTGCATTAGATAACACCAATGTATATGAACTACAACTACTTTAAGATACATATGAATCCCAAACATGCAAATGAAATAAATTACACCATTAGGCGACAACTCACATCTAGCAGAGGAGATTCATACAAAACAAAGAAGCAGAGGTGCGTACATATATTACCCATAATGAAACTGTTTAATTAAACATTAACAGAGGCATGTGTAAGTGTTTCCTGGGAACTCAGATAAAAGATATACAGATTGTGTAGCAAATTCAATTTGCCTAAAGCTAACATAAGCAATTTTTAAGCTAAGGTCAGAGAAGTAGTATCTCTTCCACCCCAACTCCCAAAATCCCTATCTTCTCCAGAGTTCTAATGTTTCTTTAATTTCTGAAACAAAACCTATTAATCTGATCTTTGTCAACCAATGGTGAACTGGTCTAGGACCTACATATACATCAACATCCAAATAGCGATTGTTTGAGTTTCATTAATTAAACCAAAACTTTTTAAGGTGTATCAAGTAGAAAATTAACCCTTAGAAAATATCATGCGTATATGTTCTACCTAAAAACTATAAAAGGCTTTATGAACTTAAATATTGAGTTTAATTAGAATTACCTACCTTTGCCGTCTATCACACAAACTGCAGCCACACCAGTATACATTGTGACATCTACATATTGATATAACGACATATCAACTCCTAGAGTATCAGTATATTCCATCGGACTGGCTTTTCTTTTCGCCATATATCGAGTCACAAGGAATGATCCTTAAAATATAACTGGATTATACCGCTCTAGAAATCTATCTAGAAAAAAGCCTAAAACAATTCTGAAAAAGCAGAAAAAACTTGGAGATATAAGAACATAATGTAGGACAACAGTTCTTATACTAATTAAAAACAGTTAATTAGTACAGTTGAGTGGTTTCTCACACTTGCAGAACTGCTATTGTATTATTGCATC